GGTAATTACAGAAACTCGTTAATCAGCTTTGCCAGCAGAGCTGCTTTTCTCTCCCAGAGCCTTTTGATATCAGCTCGCTCTGCCCATCTCAGACAAAGCAACATCAACGGTCACAGCAAAACACAAACCTTGATCTTGCCAATTCTGGCCCCATTTTGATGACAAAGCACAAACCAAAACAGACATGAAGGATAAAACATGTGAAATTATGTCATTGTTAGAAGTGTGGAAAGGAAGGCAAGGGCTGCCTGACACATGGAATGTTTCACATTAACAGGATTTCAATGCTGGGATTTCCTTTGTTTGAGCCCATCCTGCCCACAGAACTCCAGAACTGCAGCAGGGCACCAATATCCACAGGATCTTCCCTCTGTAAATTTGTTAACTTAACTCCAGAATGCCAGTCCCTGCTCTCTGCTCAGCTCACAGAACAGCTTCATGCCACTTCCTTGTCTCTGCAGCCTCTGAACACACTTCTGCACAGCAGCTCATGCCTGAAACTGGGTTTTTTTTTTCCTTTTTGTGACTCATTTTTCCAGGAGAATCTCACAGAAACCTTCTGGGTTTCCCTGGGGCTGCTCTGAACCCACCCTTGGGCTGTGCTCTGCCCAGCCAGGCCATGGCCAAGGGCAGGTTGGGATTCAGATCATCTGGAGAGCCCCAAAGGGAAAACTACAACCAAAACTACAACCACTGCCCTCATTATCTCCATATTCCAACATTAAAAAGTGGGTTTCATCCTTTACCATACCTGAAATCTGTGCTTTTCTGGCCAAATGACCAATGCTTCCAGAGGGATATTCAGTGACACAGCCCCTGACCATGACAGCTTTGCAGACAGAAAGAGAATGGCAATAACTGGGTTTGGCAATTAGACTTGTTGACTCCAGTTCTATGACACTTCCTTTTTCTTTTTTTCTGAAAAAAAAACCCGTTCCTTTTTTTTTTCCTGAAAAAAACCCTGCTGGTTTATGCTGAAGACAGTTGATCTTTAACAAGACAGCAAAGGATTGATACAGCAGAATTTTGCAGAGCCTGAAATAGCTGCCAAATTCAGGATGCTGTTGGGAAATGAAAACCAACAAACATAGTCCTCCAAGGAAAACCTGGTTTTGTTAAACAAGGTCACACTGTCTTTTAGTTGTTTTTTTTATCTTCTTACTCATTTTTTTCTTACATGTTCCTACATCTGCAGATTTCTCCTGCTGGAGACCAAGAACCAGTTTTTCCATGTTCCCCTTTGGAATTCTACAGTATTTCTTCTGCAGGAGCAATTAGTATTTGCTGTTGTTTTAAAAGAAAAACCCTACAGAAATAAAGGAAAAGTATGACTCACTGAGAGACCAATAATTAGGTCATGTGTTCAATTAGTTTTCATGCTTAAGTAGTTACTCTTTAGGAAATGCTCCCCCTTTGATGTGCAGCAGCAACTTCCCAATTAATTAGGCAGAAAAAAGCAATGAAGGAATGAAACCTCAGACACCGAATCAAAGCCCCGAGATCTCTAATGAGGGGAACAACAGCATCAACAACAGACAACATGCACTAAAAGGTAGAGGCTTTCACTGATCCATTTTGAGCATCTTGGCTGTATTTCCTTTGAAATTAAGAGAAAACTGTTGGGAAGCAGACTAGAAGAGAGGGGGAAGCAGCCTGTTTGATCAGAAAATCACTGTTTCCTTGAAGGCCTGCCACAAAATAAATAATCTGTGCATACTGCAGATGTGTCCTCAGAGACCATCAGTCACTGGTGCAGGCAAGAGGAACCACACATTGGGTGAAACTGGAGCAGAAAAATGGGAAAAGCCTTTTTATTGAAACCCTACACAAGGAACAGAACTGTTCCAGTGCCATCCCTCCCTCTGCAGGGATGCTCCAGCTGCAGGCATGCCCAAACACCAGCACTCACTTTCAAACCATCCTTCCCAAAGGCTTTCTAAAAGTTTATTTAATCTTGTCTCCTAGATTTCCCCATGCAGGATTTTCACCCCCCTTGATGGCTCACAGTTCTCTTTCACCCCAGGGGTGCCCGTTCAGGTATAATCCATTCAGCTCTAATGAAATCAGTTCATTCCAGGAGAGAATTAAAACAGCCCAAACGACTCTCTTAGCAGATAAAAAAAAAAGGAGGAAATTGAGAGAAGAAAAAGGGAGGCAAAACTGTAGCACTTGAATTAAAAAATCAATACTATAATTGACTTTGTTTTATTTAGGCAAGTGGGTGTGAGGGGGAAGGATTCTTTGGGATGTGATGTTTTCAGCCCCTGGTGTTGCACAGAGGGTGCAGGAGCCCTGGAGCTCTTGATTTGGAAGGGCAGGAGGGGATTGGAGATGGCAAATTACTGCCTTGCTGGGTGCAAACCTCTCCATCAAACTACTTGATGTAAAAAAAAAACCCAAATTCCATAGAACTGACCTTCAGCTGGAAGGTTTCTCTACAGAAGATCCCACTGAAAGAGTTCAGTAGGAGCCATGTGTGTCTGCATCCCTCTCACCTCTCCTAGGAACAGATTTTAACCTTCCTGGCAGGACTGGGAATGTTCATCAGAGAATACAGGACAGGACTGCAAAAAGCACCTGGTGCAGGAGAGTCACTGGGATCCAYGTGCACCATAAAATCCCAACAAAATCACTGAGAGAAGGAGGAAAAACTCTTGTGAGCGTTGTGGTCAGCTCAGAGTTAAAGAGAGAAACTGGCCAAAAGCCAGAGCCAACAAAGAAGTAAAAAAAAAAAAATCTATAATTTCATGCAAATTTAATAAGCATATGCTCCAGACTACTTCATCCCAGGTCCTGAATTATGTAAAGTGTGCCTGGTGCAAGCCAAGGCTGTGGCTCTGCAGCCCCTCCTGCACATCCATCCATGGGCACAGAGCCCAGGGCACTGAACTGGCCAGGGAAGGCTGGCAGCCAAGGAAGGAGGTGGCTGAACCTCAGGGGACAAAGCTGGCACCTCCTAGGGTGGCAGGCAGCAATTCCWGCCCAGTTTGTGCCATGGGTGCTGYRCAGGGAGCAGAGATYTCACTGCCTCCAAGCACCCCTGAGCAGCAGAGCAGCTCCATCCTCCCACTCTGCTCTRCAGGGCCCAGCTCCTCAGCTAAACTGGGACTTACAGAGCACTAAAAATCCCCAGGAGCTCCTGCATGTCCATAAAGCATCCCATCCCACTGCAGCAGCCCAGCTCGCAGTCCATCAGTCCTGTTTGCAAAGATGTTGAACTCTTAAACTAAAGCGAGTCCCTGCCTTTGCAATGGCACAATGGGCAGTGCTGCCAAGAAAATGGAATTTACAGCCCTCCAAGAGGAAATATTTGTGCTCCCTGGCACCTGTGAGGGGCTGCAGATCACACAGGATCTCAATGAGGGGCAGCAGCAGAAAAATCCCACTGCAATATCATCAATTCCTGATCAAAATGGTTTAATAAAAGCATGTGAGGAACCTCCAAGGAACAGAAACTCCAAGTGTTTCACCCTGGGTAGTTCTGTGTCAGCCAAAGGCCCCCTTTCCTGGTGATCCCAGCTCCACTCAGCTCCTCCAGCCATCCCCAACCCAGCACTGCAGATTCCCAAACCAGAGCAGCAGCCCCAGGGAAGGTTTTCCCCTCCTGCAGGCATTAGCAGGTCCTGTGTTCTTCATTTTCACTCCCTTTTCTCCTTCCACTCTTCAGCAGCCCCTTGACCCTGTAATTGAGCCCCTTTCCAGGTCAACCTCAGATTTAACCCCTTTCCTGCCCAGTGAAACTCAAACCCCACACCCAAGGAAATGCTAACATAGAGCTGTCTTGGTTTTCCTTCCATTTTTCCACCTCAATTCTCTCTGCACTGAATTGCAAGAACTCTTCACTTGTTCAGAGAACTCTTTATCAAGACACATCGAGCTCACAGCTCTGTCATCTCCCACCCTCTCCCCCAGCACAACTTTCATTTGAGAACTGCATGAAATGACTGAATATTGCTTAACTGCAGGATTCTGCAGAGGAAACAACAGCTGAAGTGGTTTTTACTCCTGCAGCACACAAATTTATGTAGGTACACAACAATAAAGCAAAGTCTTAAATTTAATCAGAACAAATACTTCAAGCCACGGCAAGCTGATAAATTATTTAGAAAGGGGCTCAATAAGACCTGGAAGGAAATATCCATCAGCTGTGCAGCTTGGCTGGGAGCCTCCAGAAACAAGGAATTTTCATGCTTTACCTCTTTTACAGTTTCCTTTCAGCTAAGCTGTTTGCATTGAGCAAAAAGGAGGATTTTAGAGCAGAAGCAGCAGTCCAGCAATGCCACAGCACTGGGCACACAGTGCCCAACACATCCAGTTCCTCTGGAAGGAGCTGACAGCCAGGGAATATTTCAGAAAACTTTCATGATTGGGTCTTTTCTCAGACTGCCTGGTTTTCCCCAAACTGTCCTCTTTCCAGCCATTCCTCAACCATTCCAAGCCCCCAAGAACCAGACAAAATGGGATGTATTAGTATTTATATGAAAGCTCTAGGAAATTCAATAATGTTCCTATTGTTTTATTGCAGATGGCACACCAACTTCTCTTTATGACTGCAGAAAGCTCCAGAGCCCTGTGGAGTGCAATAAAGCAGGACGTGTTTGGCTTTGCAATGTGGCAGGGGCTGGGATTTGCAATGTGGCAGGGGCTGGGATTTGCAATGTGGCAGGGGCTGGGATATTTTCCTGCAGGAATCAGGGCAGCAGCCCAGCTCTGGGATTGCCTCCACCATGCCCACGCAGGGACCCTGCTGCTCCTCCCTCCCAACCAGGAATTCTGTCCCAAAACACAGCAAAAAGGGCTCTTTTCACCTTTGCACCAACATGTTTTACTCTCCTGTTTGATTTCAGGCACTTTCGGATTTTTTTGCTAAATTCTTGGGCTGCTGAGATTTAAAAATTGTCAATGCACCATGAGGAAAAACACAAATTCTGTTAAGAGTACACTAGTATCTGCTAGAAATGCTTTGAGATGAGTCCTTCTGACAGAAATACACTCAGAGAAAAGCAGAGAGAGGCTCAGAGGAGTAAAGGCTCCACCAGGAGAGCAGTGAATGCCCAGTTTAGAGGCACAGAACACCCAACACTCACCCTGGGCTGCCAATTCTCRTACTGCTTCTGCAGGTTGGCCCCGATGGTCTCCAGAGCTTTCTGAGGCCCCATGGACAGAGGATCTGGAAACAGAACACACAGGAACATTTCTCACCCCACTGCACCACTCAGATCAGGATATTTTCATGTAGATTCCTTTCATTATCAATTTCAAACCCATAAACAATTTGTTCCTCATGGAATTTACCCGGGGGCAACACCCAAAAATTATTCTCAAATTCTTCAATCCAACAAAAATCCAGTTCCATTACTGACTGTCAAATGTGGAAGATTCCTCTCACGGAGCTACTAAACACAATTTTGTTTTGAAAGACAGGAGAGGCATTACATTTGTTTCTTTTAATAATGAAATAAGGTTTCTATTGTAAATAATGACAAGAACTCAAATTGGTTAAATATTTGATGACAAACATTTTCTGTTGATGAATGCAAAATCTTGCTTCATTTACTTCCTTTGCTTCCTGCTTCAGAGATTGTGTGCCATTTGTAATATTTAAGAAGTTAATTTTATTGCTAGATAATTACCACAATCCATACATAGCAATGCAATTCCAGCCAATGTGCTTTATTCAAATACCACGGACATTTCATTAAACAATTAACAATTAAAAAAAACTATAAGCTAATATTTTGCTATTTAATATAAATTATTTTAAAAGCACTAAACCAAATCAATGAAGTGGGTGCTTTTTTTAGAAGCAAAATATAATAAAGCAGGGTGAAAGCAGGGTTTGGAGCATTGTTTTTCTTTAAAGAATAAAAGCACGTGGAAGGTGCAGCAGGACCAGAAATTTCAAATTGGCTGCAAGTGGAAGGGAGCACTTGTGTACATAAACACACTGAAAATTTAATTACAAAACTGCATTCAAAATTCTCTTTGCTAATGATAGGCTCTAATGAGTTTATTTAAATGCCTCTGCAATGCTCTGTGAGTATCAATGAGACATCAGGGCTGGTTTTTTGCACTGCTCTCAGGTACCTGTTTGTGCCTGCTCAGCTGCTTTAAARTCATCAGCATTTCTAGGTTAAAACCCTCAGATGCTGTGATTCACAGAGCAGGTAATGCAAGGCTAGAAACAAGAGCTTCTGAAAGTTTGGGTTTTTTTTTAAGAAATGCAGTTTGTGCAGTGATTAATTTGCTCCTGGGGCCTGTCTGAGCCCTGAGTTGAGGATTACAGTGGTCGACATGCCTGAGGCTGAACGTCCCCAATTCCTACACAAAAACCAAATCTCTCTCAGAAAGCTTCTATACACAAGATATTCCCTTCTAATATTACTTCAAATTCGTCCCATCTTGATAATTAGACTTTTTTGCCCAAAACCAAGGGAACTTTTCATTTCTTCACAACAAAAAAATAGGAATTCAGCACAGTGCTGCATGAAAGCAGCAAATCCAGGTGTTGGAATTGCTGGCAAGACATCCTTGGGAATAATTCCAGGTCTTCTGAATGATTYCAATTAAAAGAGCCCTGGAGCAGCCACCTCAAACCACAGCAAGGTGTTTCACAAAGCTCACTGCTCTGCTGAGCGAGGCACAGAAAGGGGATTTAAAGTTCTGCACTCTGAAGCTGTCTCTGCTCAGAGATTTCCTCAGATATTTATAAATCTAAAATAATTACAAGGCAGCTCATTAACAGCTGTTTTCCTGCATTGTTTCCAATTCCAGAACACAGCAGGAGAGATGACCCATGGGCAGCACTTGGAGCTGGACTCTTCATTAACCCAGAAAGAGAGAAATCAGCCCTGATTTCCTTCTCAGCCCAGTTTTAAACCCTGGGAATGCACAATTTGAGGATGAATTCCACGCTGTGACTCAGTTTTTGTGACACTCAGGGAATCTGGAGCCTGCAGGGCTCTGGGCACTCACCAATCCAACATTCCAGGCGGGCACAGGGAGTTGTTTTCACCACATCTGGGGGGTCCACGCCAACGTTGAGGCACAAAACTAAGGCAACACTGACTGTCTTCATCTGCAAAGAGAGGCAAAACACAGCTCCTGAGTGCAGAAAAAGCAGCAACTTCCACTCCCCCAGAACTTCTGCAGGGTTTTATCCAACCTCCCTTACCTGCTCTTTCACGTGGACTATTTTTGAGCAAGGCCTGACTGATGAAATTTTTCATATTTTTTATTAGAACAGTACTTAGAGCCTTTGTTACTATTTTTGTTATTATTTCCACAGCTCATTCTTCTCTTTCTGAGCATGGAAATAGATGAACTTCTGCTACTCATCTTAAATTAGCCACTGTCCAASTGAAACACATGATTAAAACATGAGGCAATGCTATTCAGGGGCCCTGACCAATATTAAAATGCASTGTGTGATCTCAAAGATTGGAACTAAAAGAATAAAATGGAAAAAAACCCCAAGTGGCAAACAGAACCATTAAAAAACTAAACAAACACGCACCAAAACAACAATATTTATGCACTTTTTATTTTGGTTTTTTTTTTTCAAGTGACTGTTTTCCTGGAGAGCTCTGTAAGGAGAAATCCTGGTGTGGCTCCAGCTGCTGCTCCATGGGGTTATCTCACCCAACCCAAACCTGGAACCCAAAACCATCCTGGCCAGCTAAAAATACTGCCTGAAAATTATTATTTTGGGGTTTTTTTAATGGTTTTTTTCTAGACTTCCTGGTCCCAACACCTAAACCAGAGAAGGAAAACAGAAGCAGTGATGAGGCTCTCAGTGATTCCAGGCATTCAGGGCTTGCCTGCAGCAAGGCCACCCACATCCCCACTTCCCCAGGGTGCTCTGTGCAACTTCCAACAGCAGGGAAAAAAAATTCCCAAATTTCACACTTAGAGAAAACCCTAGAGCCACATAAATGTGTAATTTATATACAAACTGGAGCAGCCAGACACCATTCACACCACGGAGTGGGGCAGGCTCTACACCAGGACAGAAATCCTGCACTATTTCCTCACTCCCATGGCCACGATGGGAAATGTTAAATAAAAAATCAACCAGAAGTGTGGCTCATGGCTTCATCCCAAACCATGATCCTGCTAACAAACCCTGCAATGCTGTAGGAGTTCCCAAGGAGGAAGCAGCACTTTCTAGCACTGAGATGGAAACAACTGAACAGGAGGAATTCCCTGGACAGGATTGCACCAGAGCTCCTGGGGAGTGCCAGGGATGGGGTGGGGATGCCCAGGGATGGGGTGGAGATGCCCAGGGATGGGGTGGGGATGCCCAGGGATGGGGTGGAGATCCCAGGGATGGGGGCAGATGTCAATGGATGGGGTGGAGATGCCCAGGGATGGGATGGAGATGCCCAGGGATGGGATGGAGATGCTCAGGGATGGGATGGAGATGCCCAGGGATGGGGTGGAGATGCCAGGGATGGGGTGGAGATGCCCAGGGATGGGGTGGGAATGCCAAGGGATGGGGTGGAGATGCTCAGGGATGGAGATCCCAGGGATGGGATGGAGATGCTCAGGGATGGGGTGGAGATGCCCAGGGATGGGATGGAGATCCCAGGGATGGGATGGAGATGCCCAGGGATGGGGGGAGATGCTCAGAGATGGGATGGAGATGCCCAGGGATGGGGTGGAGATGCTCAGGGATGGGTGGAGATGCCAGGGATGGGGTGGAGATGCTCAGGGATGGGGTGGAGATGCCCAAAGCTTCAGTTCACACCAAGGACTCGTGCTTTAGGGCACAGTGAGAGCAGAGATTTTGGAAGGATGAGGGGCAGCTTCAAGGTGCAGCCCAGTCCTGCAGAGCCTTCACTGCACTATGAACCACCCCAAACCACCCAAAACCACCCAAAATCACCACCCAAAGCCACCTGAGCATTGCACAACCCCCAGCCAGCTCCAGAGCTCAGCAAAGCCAGGCTCAGCTGCCAGAACCATCACACACTGCCACACACACACTGAGCACCCCCAGGGAGACACAGAAAACTACACACAAAATAACTGATTAGACCTGGGAACTCATAAATCATCCTTCCCAGAGAAAGTATCCTGCCAGGCAATCTTCTCCATCTCATTTATTTATTGTTTCCCATTTGCAGTCTAATATGGACTTATTTTTCAGCGTTTTGCTGGTAACATCTGATTGGTGGCTTCTGCTGAACAGGCTGATATTTATTTTCCATTCCCAAGTTCAGGGTTTTAAATAAGTGTTTCTTCTGGGGGAACTGACAGCAAACCCACGAGAGGAACAGGAACTGATCCCAGCAACAAATGGGGTGATTTCCCCTCTGCCACCTCCCYCAAAGGATGTAAAGCATCACACTCTGCATGATTTGTTCTGCTAAAAAGGAGCATATCCTGAGAACCACAGCTCATTCCTCTYCCCTCTGACCATATCCAGGCTCAGCAGGGTTTTGGGGGACAAAGCATGAGACCAATCAAAAAAAAAAAAAACCCAAAAAACTCTGAGCCCAAAAAACCCAATAATGCCTTTCCCATTTCTAAACTCTTTTGGAACACACCAGAAACTTCACTGCATATTTAAAGCTTTAATACAAGCAGGCTGAGGACATTCTCATCTGTCATTAAGACAGTGGAAATTTTCTTTTCCCCATTTCAGGAGTTTATCCATCAGAATAAATTTCCATGGATTTTGTTAGAATTAAAAAATGAAGCAGAAGAACATTTGGCAAGTTTGTAAGAAAACCAATATCCAAAATGCTTTGTCAGCAACGGCTCAAGATCAAACCACAGCAGCTCTTACTGTGGGCTCTGCACTTTGGAGTGTCATTTGTATGTTAAAAAATGGGATACAACTCCCAAGCTTGTACTGCATCCGTTTTAAAGTGATTTAATAACTCTGGGTCAGAACCTGCAACACTTAAATGGCAAAATCCACTCGGTCAAAATGCTCTTGCTGAGAAGTGATGGCACTGAATTCATCCCAAAGCCATCGGAAATGGGACTCAGGGAGCAGAGGGAGCTCTGTATCTGTTCAGAAGAGAAGGTGCTTATTAAAGCATTTGACACTAAAATTTACATCTTATGCTAAAGASCTTTTAAAATATTCCTAATTCACCTCTTATTTCATTTAGAGGCCAAACAGATGTGCAGGTGAGTACAGTGCAATTTCTGCAGATATTTTCAAGTGGGAAAAATGGGTTTGATTGAAAAGATGAAGTTTTCTCATCCCAGGGAGCCCACATGATCCCATTGGAGCATCCCTGGAAGGGATTCCAGCCCAGGCTGACACTGAGCCCCCATTTTAGCCCGAGTGAGAACACATTTCTAACTCAAGAGGCATAAAACTGCTTTATATTCCAGTTYAAGTAATACCAAGAACAAGTCAGTGCATTTATGAGAAATTCTGCATTTTGTGGTACATTTCAGCCTGGACGTTTTAAACCCCCATTAATATTTGATTTTTACACTGCAATTTGCAGGCTGAAAACTTTCTGCTTAAACATTACCCAGAAGAACACTCAAGTGTTAGAAACCTGCCTGGGTTTAAGCCAGTGAGTTCAAACTGCTTCTGGGAGTTAATACAAACACAAGATTAAGTCAGCATTAAACACGAAATATATGTGGCTACATTATTTTATGGAGTTGAGGAAGAAGTTATCAACATTAAATACAGATACTGGGACAAATTCCCAATTCCAAATCCTCATATGAGTCTCATTTGAAATCCCTCACTGGCCAGGAGGCTCAATTTCCTCCTTGTGCAGGAAATTCATTCCCTTCTCGAAGCCTTTTTTTTTTTGGACATTTTTCTCTACACACATTTACAGGTTTAACAGAAATCTCTTCAAACCCAGCGAGGTGTTCCTCAGGTAACTCCTGAATGCTGCTCCTTTGGAGATGTGCCAGGAAAAGCTCTGAGGATGTCTCCAAAGAGAGCAGGAACAGCAACACTGAGCAAGAGGAAGAATTGTTCTCCCTTGAGCTCTGTTTCACTCTGCAACACCAGAAGTGTTTGCTCTTTGCCAAATCTTCCCATTTTGGGCTCCCAGCTGAGAGGTGCCATGTGCTGACACTCTGTCCAGGCATCATTCCCAGAGCTCTGGCAGCACATTCCACTGAGGAATGCAGCTCTGAAATCAGCTGAAGGTATTGAACAGGCAGACAAAGCCTTGRCCTTCCACTCCATCACACAACTGCACACACACCAAAAAAATRGGGAAGGAATGGTTCCCAACAGATCCCACATGAAACACAACTTTCCCTTTTCCCTGCTGCTTCTTCATTCCTGTACCATTTGCAAGGTAAAGCATCTAAAAAGAAGAGCTTTCGGTTTCAATGAAATGTTTTTAATGTAAAGTTTAAGATAAATAAATTGTTATGGAAAAAAAAAATCTGTGTGTTTCTCACAGCAATAAAAGGAGTAGAATGCAAAGAACTCCTGCAAGTTACCATTAATAATTCAACAGCTCTGCAGGTTGTCTCCAGCCATCTGGAGCCCAGAGTCGGTTCCTGGTGTGCCAGCCTGCTCTAGATTCCTCGATCAGCTCCTCCCAAGGGTTTGTTTTCCTTCTTTAACTCTGAACTCAGCACTCACACTCTGAATTTTCTTCAGATGCTTTTTGCACTCAGTGTGTTGGTTTTCCTACACACGGCTCCAGCTCCTCACCAAGCACACTCTGAACTGCTGCCCTCAMTGCTCACTTCACAAGCACTTTTTAAACTCGTGGCTGAATTTTTGCTGCCAATCACTGCCCCAGCTATCCACAGCCACTTCTGTTCACCTAAACTGGGACCAGTGAGCAGYTCCTCTGGGTGACAGCAGTGACACCCACAGACACACTGTGGCCTTCAGAGATCCAAGGTGACCATGTGTGACCAACTCTGTTCCAAATTAAAGATTCCAGTTTGGAATCTCAATCCTCTGTCAGCCAAACACTGCTCTCCAGCCCCTCTGGAATGCTTAGAACCAAAATGGTGTTTCCTTCCCTGTCAATCACTTCTTAATAATAATGAAAATAACAGAAAGCAAGTGCTTTACTCCTATGATCTTTGCTTTCTTTCTACAACCTGCAAAAGAACCGTTTTCCAGATGTCACTCCCCATTTATCTGTGACAAGGGGTTTCCTCCTCAGCTCTGCTTTGCATTCCTGCAGCTTCTCCTCATCACTCCACAGCATTCCCACTCCTGTCTAGCACTGCCTTTCAAAGGTGTCCATCTTCCCAGGCACTGCCTGATGCAGCTTCAGATCTTCCTTACAAACCATTCCTTCAAACCATTCCTAGAYGGGCTCTCAGATCTTTGGGGAGTCAAGAACACGGGATGCACACGGAGTGTTTGATCAGAGCCGCTGTCTGAACGAGAGGAATCCCTGAGCCTGAGCCAACTGCTCCTCATGCAAATCATTTCCTAAAGCAGGAGCTTTCCCAGCTTCAGGAGAGAGCAGGAGGAAAGGAGAGGATGAGAGCAAGCCCAGAAATTCGAGTGCAGTGTCAGGTTGAGTTTGAAGGCAGTGACACAAAACACCGGACAAGAGCAAACCCAACAATTTGAGTGCAGTGTCAGGTTGAGTTTGAAAGCAAAAGACATGAAACACCAGCCCTCTGCCTCACAGGGCTCAACCACCCCATCCCTCCAAAGGCTTTCAATTCCTCCTGCTCTGTGCCATGGAGAGGAGGGCACAGCACAAACCCTGCTGCTGCTGTGCCATGGAGAGCAGGGCACAAACCCTGCTGCTGCTGTGCCATGGAGAGGAG